GGGGGGGGGGGGGGCGAGGCGGGCTTGGAACGGGATGGCAGGTGGCAGCGGCCATGGGTGAGGGAACGAAACAAGAGGAGAACGACTGCTAACCTGAATATGGGGCCGACTTTGCCCAGCTGCGGACCATGTTGTCGTGAGCTGGTAGGCAAACGCCATCTGACGCCACACCTCCCGCTCTCAACCAACCGGGCCCCTTTCGGACGCCGCCGCACTGCAGCATTGCGAGCGCTGCGGCGGCCTCGACCTCAGCACTTCATCCACGGTCGCCCCTTCCACCCCCTCTCCCGTTCTGTCCCATCCCCCTGTCCGAGGTTATGCACTCACCCAGAGGCCGTCAAAGTTGAACTGTCCAACGCTCCAGCCGTACCAGTTGACTCCGTGCAGCACCACGTCCTGCCCCGTCTCTGTGCTGTAGAACCGCCCCTTCTTGCCCACCTTGATCGGGGTCGCCACCTGCGCACGCGCGCGCCGAGGGCAGAGGGCGCCAACATTGAGACCCCCACGATCGAGCGGAGCCGCTGGTACGAGGTCGTATCTGCCATGCCACCCCTGCCGCCCTCGCTCCCCGCTGCCCTAGGTCCCGGCCCCTGGTGCGCTGCTCCCCCTCCCGCACCTAACCCCGGCCGGCCGCACACCGCACGCCCCTGCGCTCGGCCCCGCCGCCACCGCCCGCGCCGCACCTGGTCCGTGCCGGCTGGCGTGCTCCAAGGGCTGGGGCACGCGGTCGGCACCCGCTCCTCATTCGCGTCCGTGCGGCAGGTGCAGGACCCCTCGGGAAGCTTCCGCGGCGGGTACTGCAGCAGCTCTGCCGCGTCATCCACTGGGGGCCCCGCGGTGACGTCAGCGCTGCAAGTCCACACGCGGTAGTCCTGGGAGCCCGGCTGGCAGCTGAAGCCGTCGGGGCAGCAGAAGTTGACCCAGGGGCCGGTGTTGGCGCAGGTATTCCACTTGATGCACTGGCCGCCGCCGCCGCCTGCGCGAGCGGGGCGCGAATGGGCAGCAAGCAGGAACGCGGGCCGGAAGCACAGTGAGGCGCCACGAGGGTCGACAGAGAGCCCGCAGCGAGTGCTACAGCCCCGGCCGGGGACAGCGAGCATGTTGCTTCACGCTCTGGGCACCCCACAGCCCACCACTCCGGCCGGCAACCGCTGCGGCGCGCGGCCCCCTCCGCCCCTCCTGTACCAAGCGCCGCCGCTGGCGCCTGCGGCGACGCCCCCGCGCGCAGCCCGCCGCGCACCGCACTGGTCGCCGGGTGCAACCTTGTTCTTGCACTCCCCGTAGCTCGATGCGAACGTGTAATTCAGCTTCGAGTCCTGCAGCTGCTGGCAGCTGTGGCCGAACAGCGAGCCGGTGTCCTTGAGGCACGCAAAGCCCAGGGTGCAGCAGGACTGCACGAACGGCGCGGGGTCAGGGAAGCACCAGGCGCCAGGTTTGAACATCATGTCGCAGCCAGGCTGGACAAACGGGATGCTGGAAAACGTGAGGACATCTGGTTTTGTGGGGGGTTGAGGAGGTGTCAAGGGGCGGGACTTTGGGGTCGATGGGGGGGGAGGGGGGAGCTGCGAGTCGCCGGCTGGCTACGTGGAGAGGCGCAGTGCGGCGGGAAAGCGCGGCTTGGCGGGGCGCATCGCCCGTGCTGGATGGTGGTGGCCTGCCCGGGCTGCGCTGCATTGGCAGGCCAGCCTCTACGCCGCTGCTGCTGTGCCGCTGCCTGTCCGGCTCCCATTGTCTGCTTGAGCCGACCAAACAAGCTGCTGTTGACACGTTAAGGTGAGTGACGGATGCTGACACAAGTGCATTCGGCTGTAGCATAGCTGTGCGCTTGCTCTTTCTACCACCAGCACATATGCTGCACCAGGATGCGCTCAAGAGTTCGGGACTGCAACCTGGTGGCTGCAGGCAGAGAGCCCTGCCGGAGGTCTCTGCAGTTGTGTTTTCGCCGTTCGCTCCTGACTGCATTGGCCAACAGCTGTACGGCACAGGTGCAGCCCCAGCGGCACATTCTATCGTGCTCGTATTTTCCGTCCTAGCGATGCTCCTAGGCAGGACCGGCGCTTTGCTGGCATCGTTGCAAAACACCTCGTCACTTGTGCGGCTCGGGCTTGGCGGCGGTGCAGGCGTCACCGCTACACTGCTGCGCTCACCATCGAGCCATGCGTCCACCTTGTGCGACGCCAAAGCTATCAATAGTAGCAGTAATGTCCTCTTCGAGCCCGCCATAGCGCCACTGATGCGCTCACGATTGATGTGAGCCGGCTCGACTGGTGTCTCGTGCAACCGACTGCTCGCTAGAGAACGGAGCTGTGATGATGGTATATTTTGAGTGGTTTTGGTTAGAGTAAGCTTTTCAGGGGGAGTAGCGAAGCCCCCGTTCTTGCTGGCGTCGCCGAAGTAACTCGCTACGGTCCGTGCACACTTTGCGCGTGGAGAAGACGTGAGCCCAACAGTGTCTTTGTCAATTAGATTGTATTCAAGCCTTCATTATTTTTCAGTTATTGAATCACCCTGAAACGTGTGCATCTTCGCCCGTGTCTTGAAAACCCCCACAGCTCAGGGTCACACTTTTGCATCACAGGCAAGCTCCCAGGTGTGTGAGTTGCAGAATGAGACAGCCACCCTCCCCACTACCGCGCACTTTGACCTTGTGTCGCCACAGCTGGACCCTGCTCCTGCTTTTACACCGCTGTGCACATCCTTTGATAGGGCCCGGCGAACTGAAAGGGGCGGCATTGCCACGGCCGCGCGCCACCGCATGCTTGACGGGGCGCGCCCAAAACAGCCGCGCAGCCGGAAATTAAATGTAAGGGAGGACGGGGTGTGTGTGGGCGCCCGCAAGCACGCGCAGCCAACCTGCGTCGCACACGGCCGGCCGCATTGTGTGGCAGGCGCCCGAGCACACTCCCCAAACCGTGCACGCTGCCGCACACACAAAGTCACAGACATACACAAATACACCCCCGTCACCAGACCAGACGCCGTCCCGCCCGCCGCAGTCCCCGCACAGACCGGCACGACGCGCCTCGCGCGCCGCGCCGGCCGCAAGCCGAGAGGGTTCACGCCGTGAACGAGTCGACGCGCGGCGGCAGGGTGACATCACCCATCTTGGCCAGCAGCTCCAGCACTTCGTGGTAGTCATTGAGGTAGAGGGGGGCCCTGGAGGGCTTCTGGCCGACGACGCACGCAAACACCTGGGGGGTGGGGTGGGGGCGGGGAGAGGGCGGTGTTGCTTGTGTGAGTGGTTCAAGTG